TCACTGTTAGGCATACGCCCCCAAGAAAATTAAATATGGAAAGATCTGAACTGTGCCAGAATTTTCATAGCAGAACTGTTCTGGCATCAAAGAACTAGAAACAAAGTGGACCAATTTAATGGAGATTGGCTAAAGAAATTGTGGCATATGGATATAATGGAATGATTATTGCATTGTTAGAAAATGCCAGATATGATAAATTCTGAGAAACACAGGAAGAACTGTATGAAATAACACAGATTCCCAAACAGATTCCCAAAACCAATGTATACAAAGACTACAATGATGTGTAACACTGGGTTGCCAGCCACTAGGATTACAAAGATTTTGGAAGATCTTCCTGATATCACAGAAACTTTGGAAGACCTTCGCAGGATAATAGAGCATCCTGAGACCAGACTGCAGATATTCGAGGGAACTACATTAGTTTTGTGCTTTCAGTGGTCTTCTGAAAGAGATCGCCCCACTTAATTGGGGGCGGGGAGGGGGGAAGAGGTTGCCATACGGAAGAGGCAATGAGGAGAAAATAAGACTCAAGTGGATAAATGAGCAGACCAGGGGTCAAGAGGAGAAAAGAGAGAGAGATGGCCAGAGCAGTTAGGGGCTGAGGCCAGTAATTTTGGAACTTAGTGAGAGTGAAGTCCAGTTCACAAACAATTCCTTTCTTCCTCCTTTTTTCAGAGCACTGTACTGAGGAAATTGCCACCCACAGTCTAGATCTTTTTTTTTCTCTCTCTCTCTCCAGCAAATCCCCCTCAGAATGAGTAGGAGGAAAGTATAGAAGGGAGCTTTATCACAGCTTTATATTCCTTATTTAAATGTTCATTTTTGTTTCTATGTTGGTTAATACTGCTAATAAATTACATGATCATTAACAGTGATTTTGACTAAGACTAGAAGTTTGAGGTACATGATTAAGAGAGTAAAAGCCAGTCTATGAGAGGAGAATTTTCCCTGGTTTTACTCCAGGTTGGGAATAAGGGAAGCAAGTTGATTAGAGAAAATGTTTCTGCAATTTTGGTAATTTGCTGAGAATATTCCAGAGTATGCCCTCTAGACTGCCTTTGAACCTGGGAAGACAGAGGAAGTAGCAGAGAGAGTTAGGGGTTGGTGGGGTTGCCCCAAAAAGTACGGAATCATGCACTCACATCCTTCTAGTGCAATAAATGTAAATGGAAAGAAGGCTAAAATAAAGCTGAATGCTGTATAAATGTAATGTTCAATCTTGGCTCTGGAAAAGAGATGAGGAAATGCACCTATCTCCTTTTGTTGGAGACATGAGAGGCATTGGGTACAAAATGTTGCATAATTGGGTCAGATTCAGTTTTTGTGATTGTCCCCAGTTAGAGAGGAAAACATTACTATTAGCCGGGTGGTTGGAATAACAGCCCACTGGAAAAGGTAATTTTCTTCTGTGTGGTTCTCAGAATTTTCTTGTGCTCTTAGGACACAAAGAAACACAAGGAAATTCACAGGGCAGGGGTCAACCACATGTGTTCAAGAAAAATAAGATGAGATCACCAGGTTCAATCTTTAACAATAAAAAGACATGCTTAGAAATGAGTGTTAATCACACCTAGGTAAAGTAAGGCGGAAGAGGATAAGGACCACCAATTTTTTCACTCATCATCCTTTACAACGTATCTTCTAAATGCATCAGCCACCTAAGCAATCAGCCACAGTAAAACAAATAACCCCAGTCTTAAGCTTTGATGCTTGCTCCTTTAGCTTCCCACTCTTTAGTCTCTCCAGAGTCATGGGTTGGAGGAAGGTGCCAATGGTGACACCATGCTAACTGCTCCGTGTAGCTGAGGGAAACACTGCCCTCCCCCCTTCCTCCCTGTTTCCTTTCTCTCAAAAACCTGCTATTGCAGAAAACTCCACCTTCTAGTTCTGATCTTGCAGAAACTTCTTTTCTTCCCATACTGTGAGCTAATGCAACTCCCAAGGTCTTTAGTGATTTAGACCCCCTCACAATCCAAAAGGATTGTTACTCTCATGAGGACATACCAGAAAGACTTTTACATTCCTAAGAACAAGATAGGAGGATTTGGCTAGTCCAAAACAAAGACCTAGGAGCTTTACAAGCTCAATATGAGTTAAAAGTATGATATGGCAGCTAAGAAAGTCGATGTAATCTCAACCTGCATTGAAAAACACAGTGTCTGGGATAGGAAGGTAAGAGTTCTGCAACCCTCCAGAACAAATATCTAGAGTATTATGTTCCATCTTGGATATACATGTTAGGAAAGACACTGACGAGCTGAAGAGTATTCAGAGAAGGCCAATTAGTGTGGTAAAGGTCCTCAAGATTATGTCTTATGAGAATCAGTTAAAGGGATATTTAGCCTAGAGTAGAAAAGACGGGCAGGTAGGCGATGCAGTGGATAAAGTACTAGGCTTGGAATCAGGAAGACTCATCTTTATGAATTCAAATGCAGCCTCAGACAGTTACTAGCTGTGTGACCTTGGGCAAGTCACTTAACCCTGTTGGCCTCCGTTTCCTCATCTGTAAAATGAGTTGTAGAAGGAAATGGCAAATCACTCTAGTATCTTTGCCAAGAAAATCCCAAATGGGGTCATTAAGAGTTGGACACTATTGAATAACAACAACAGAAAAGACATGGTGGCTCTCTTTAAATTTCTGAAGGGCTCTTATGTGGAAGGATTAGACCTGTTCTATTTGTACCCTGAAGACAAACCAGAATCAATGAGTGAAGGTGGCAAAGGGGGCAAATTTAGGCCTAATGTAGGTAAGGCCTTTCTTAACAATTAGACCTGACTCAAAGTAAAATGTGCTGAGTAAGTGCTCCCTCCCTCTGGAGGTCTTCAAACCTCTAGAGCCTGAATCACCTCTTTCTTAGAATATGTATAGGGGATTCCTAGCCCCTGAGATCCCTTCCAATGTGGAGAATCTATAATTACATCATCATCATCATCATCATCATCATCATCATCATCATCATCGCTGTTAATGAGCTCTATTTTGGAATCTGACTCTAATGACCTCTCTGACTTATATGGTCTTTAAGAATTTCTGTGACCAAAAATTTCATTACCCTGCGATGAATCTTTCTGAATTGAATTTAGCCTAATCTTCACACAACAGACCTTAAGCCTGTCACTAGGCTTATAACTGAAAGCTTTCCATCTTAATAATATAATAACTAACATGACTATGGTGTTTTAAGGATTGTAGATCCCTTTATATATATATATATGTATATATATACATATATATATATATACATATATATATATATTATCTTATGTGATTCTCGCAACTCAGCATAGGAGATGCTATTATTATTCTCCTTTTACAGATGAGAAAATTGAGGATGAGAGAAAATAGTGTAGAATTACATAGCTAGTGTCTAAAGTGTGATTTGAACTCAGGTGTTCCTGATTCTAAGTACAGTGTTCTTTCTACTCTGTTACCTAGCTGCCTCTCTAAAAATGACCAGAGAGTTCAAATCTGGCCTCAGATCAAACACTTAACACTTACTAGCTGTGTGACCCTGGGCAACTCACTTAACCCCAATTGCCTAAAAATAAATGAATAAATAAAAAAATAAAATGACCACAGCTTATTTTCCACTGGCATAGTCTTCAATATTTAAGATTACTTGCGTGCCAGGATTAATCATCAGAGTAGTACTTTAATGGAGGTAAGAATTATGCAATTAATGAAATTCTTCTAAAACTACACTAATTAGCATAAATATAAGAAAAGATCTTTCTGAATAATAAACTTTTAAGTATGTCCTTATGTGAATAACAATCCTTTTGGATGCCTTGTGAGGGGATCTAAATCACTAAAGACCTTGGGAGTTGCATTAGTTCACAGTATGGAAGAAAAGAAGTTTCTGCAAGATCAGAACTAGAAGGTGGAGTTTTCTGCTATAGCAGGTTTTAGTGCTTTTTATTATTTTCAATGTTTCTTGATGTGGTAACAGAATTAACAAGGTGTATTTGAGTGCTGCTAAGCAAAAACTCAGACGGACCTACTTTAATAAACAGATAAGAATTTATTACATTGTTTGCATGCAAATAGCATTGCTAAAACGGTTTGAAGTATTTGAAAATGGCTCAGTGTAAGTCAGGAAGATATTCCTTTGGAGTATATAACATATTTAGCAAACCTGCCAACTACAGTGTTAAAAATCAACTTCAGTTTAGTTCCACCTGAGGAGCTAAACCACATAGGTTTACTCTAGATTAATTCATTTGTAACACCAAACTGGGTTTTGAAAACAAGACTTTATAAACAAAAGGTTACTCATCTAAGTGAGCAATCCTAGTTAAAAATCCACATTATTTTTCAGTTGAAAAAATATATTTTTAAAAATTTTCGTTCTTCCTCTCTTGCTCAGCCTGAAAATGAAGTGGCCAAAGATTCAATTCTGTTGCTGGTTGGTATAGAAGCTTGACTGTAGGCCAATTTACTCCTCCTTAGGCAGCCTGGTGGCCTTTGCCCTTGGAGCTCACCATATTGCTGCCAGGCTTAGTGTGAATACCAAATTGATATTAACCCCACTGCAGCCCAGAACTCCCAAACTCAAGTGACCAGTAGGAGCCTCAGCCTCCCCTAGTAGGAAGGATTATGTTACGACCCCTGGCTCAACGGGATTTCTTATTGCAAGTATTTTTGAAACATAAATTATAGGGTACATATTGATAAATGAGTAATCTCTACCTTTTTACTGGTTCTTCCAACCATTGCACTACATTTTCATCTGATTTTTCATTTTGTATTTGGGAAATTTTGGATACTAATAACTGTAAATATAAGGTAGTACTAAAGTAATTTTAATGACAATAATATAATTTATTGGGCAACATGTATAATCATTATGGTTAGTTCAAGTGAGCATAATATCCTAAGTCAAAATTTCAGTCATGTTACATCTAGAAGGATGCACTTAACAAATAAAGCAAGCATATATATACACACACATATATATATATATAATATATATATATATATATATATACACGTATACATCCTGCCCATACATACATATACACTAGATATAAGTGTAACATGAAAATATTTAAGTAAAAGGAAGACTTTTGTGAACCAATGCAGAGCAAAGAAGTAGAATCAAGAGAACAATTACACAATGACCATGGCATGTAAAGGAGAAAACAACTTTAGAAAACATTAGAATTTATATTAATGCAGTGACCAGTATTGATTTCAGGTGTCTGGTGAAGAGCCATATTTTCTTCCTCTTTAGAGAGAGAGAGAGAATAGAATACAAATGCAGAACAATGCACACATTATCAAACACAGTAGATCAATTTTGTTTTGCTTAACTGTTTCTTTTTTTAAAAAGGAAGAGTTGGTTAGGAAATTTAAATTCTAGAGGACCTGGGTTCCAAGATCTGTGGCGTTGAGCAAGTCACAACCTCTAGACCTTAGTTTCTTCATCTGTAAAATAATGGGATTGAACATTAGATGTTAGATATAACCCCAAACTTCCAAGCCTGGGTCATCTTGTGTATCATTGAATAATGCAGAGAGAGATTGCTAAATGGTAGAGAGAATATTGACCTAGTGCTCCAATGAGAGGTGGATTTGATGAGACAGTTGCTTTAAGGAAGATTTACATGGTTCCAGATTCTCTTTGGGAAAGATGCATGGAGACTGAGAAAGATTTTGGATACTGCAGACCTTGAAGTGAAAGATATCAGATCAAACCTAGAGAGACACCCCAATCTTATCCAAAGGGAAATTCTTTCTCCAAAGTCTCTAGGAAAGCAAGCTGGTAAATAGATAAGTTGAGTCACTAGCTCCCCCTTCACACCTGCAGCTTCCAAAGTCTTTCTGTCTTTCTATATGTGTCTCCCGAAGAGAGTCTGGGACCACATTCATGTCTCTCTGAAGCAGCTCTGAGACTTGCTTTACCTCTCAGCATCTCAACCAGTAGGTGTTTCCTTCTGCATATGAAACAGTAGACAAAGTGCTCCAGGCTTGGAAGCCTGAGCTACATTCAAGATCTCAGAGTATCTTGTGTTTCTAAAGCCCTTGGATTATCACTGGTTCAATGAAGTCCTTCTTATTGTTATGGTAAAGGACCCTTAGTGCTTTTTTTTTAAGGCAATTGGGGTTAAGTGACTTGCCCAGGGTCACACAGCTAGGAAGTGTCAAGTGTTTGGTCTGAGGCCGGGTTTGAACTCAGGTCCTCCTGACTTCAGGGCCAGTGCTCTATCCACTGTGCCACCTAGCTGCCACCCTTAGTGCGTTTTATAGTCCTATCTTACACACATGAACTTCCTTTTACAATAAATTTAGGGGCAAAAAATATGTTCCTAAAACATTCTGTATGAGTTAAATGCTTATATATTGCGTCGTATTTTCCATGTAGTAAGGTGCTGGTTATCTATTTATCCTTGGCCTGTTGTTGCTTTGGGACACTAAATGCTCCCCATAGTTCATTTCACCTAACAGCACATTTTTGGTAACACTTCATTCATTCAACAAATATTTATTGAATACCTACCTGCAATGTACAAGGTGAAATAAATGAAAAATCCCAAGACACAGAGCTTCTGGTAATTAATAATCAACTTATTAATCAGGTTAGTTGGTGATCAATAAATTTGTGGTCAGTGGTTTCTCTAGGTAACCAAAGATGACCCATGGAGAGCCTGAAAGCCTTAAATATTTTTTGAAAGGGAACGACAAATGAAAATTAACACTGTTTTGTGGACATTTGATGAGGGCATGGTCTAGAAAGTCTTCAGCTCCTCCTTCTGAGAACGTGGCTTGACAATGAGACTCAGCAGTCTCCAGCAATCTGGACAGGGGAATCCATCTCCATCCAGACCACTCTGGTTGGTTTTGGTCACCCTGAACTCTAATGGAGGGGTATAAGGACAGGGGCTCTTTTCCCTAGGGTAAGAACTCAGCCAGACTGGATTCTGTTTGTACTCTAAACTGAAGTTAGGTCTCCTAGTTGGGTGCGGTCCTGCCCAATATTGAAGAACATGGTTCTTGAAGGCTAGCAGGTAATCTCTTCAATTAGACATATCCTTCAGAGACTGACTTTTTACAGGAACTAGGCTTAATGAGGAAATTGAGAAAATTCTAGATCCCAATTTAATAATTGGCTATTAATATAATAGTAAAATCACAATTCCTCTCAAAGGCACTGAGGATACAAAGACAAAACTAAAAATAGTCCCTGTGCTCAAGGAGCTTACACTCCACTGGGCAGATAACTAAGTGCCAGATAATATGTGGGAAAGAACACTGATGACTGGGGGTATTCGGAGAAGACTTCCCATAGCAGGTGACTCCTGGAAGGAAGATAGGAATTCAGAAGCTAAGAGCAGGCCTGTATGCCTGTAGTTTGGTGGGTTTTGGCAGAACTAGGACTTGGGCTTAGGGAAACGATATGATGTTACACGGCACCGATGGTCTAGTGATTCTATAATTATAAAGTGGTAGAAAACTGGGACCCAACGGAGTAGGAATTTAAAACAATACCTGTTAATTAAGAGCTCTGACTGGGACTGCTCCTGTTTCTTTTGTGTAGAATCTAATTACTTCTAGAAACTTAGTTTTCTTTCTTTCTGTAAATTGCATGTTAATTAGATGTCTTTTCTTCTCTCCCTCCCACCCAACTTCAGGAATAATGTGAAAGCTGAAAAAAGACACAACGTCTTTTATCTTTTATGACTCTTCTATTTTTTTAAGTTTCTCTTTCTCTTATCCCCCTTTCTCTAGTACTGTGGTATCTAGCCCCCAAGGATTTTTTTAAATCGGTAATTGTTGATCTGGGTTAGGAACTGAGGGAGCACAGACAAATGCACTGTGTGGTTGGGATTCCTTTGTGATTTTCTATGACTATACTTAGAGAACCTAAGTTTGTTTGGTTACTACAGTTCATTAAACTGCCTGAACTCAAGGCCAAAGAAATGAGTAAATATAAAACCATAGTTACATAAAGACTTTTCAAAATGTCTCAAATTTTGCTTTTAATCTGGAATAGTGGTCAGAGTGCTGGACCTGGAGTCAGGAAGACCAGGAACTGACTAGCTCTGTTACCCTGAATCAATCACTTAACTTCTCTGTCCTTTTCTAGATTCGAAAAGAAACTCCCCAGAAAGAAAGATGCCCCTTGTCTTAATTTCAGGTTTTCAAGTATTAGTCTACTTTTCTCCACTTCCTCTTCCTGTCTCCATCAACGGTGGCTTTGATGTTTCAAAGTGTCATGGGCATTTCTGAGGCTGTCTGTGAGGAGATCTCTTCTTAGCTCTTATTTAAACAGTTCACTCTCCAAACTATGTTCAGCCTCCGAGCTGCCTAAGGTCTTGTACTTGAGGCACTCAGTCACTGTGGTCCATTCCTGCAATGCTGAAAACTGGGGGCTTTAAAAGAAACACAGAAAAGTATTTCTTTCTGTGGATCCCAGGAGACTTGCAGGACTAACTCTGGATTTTTTTTTTTAACCAAACCTGTGATTTCACTGGCATAAAGAACTCCTAGGGAAGAAATCCCCCTGCCCCAAAGTAAATCAGCCTCTGGTCTCTAGTTCATGGTCTTAGAGAAGTGCTTTGGGTCACTGAGAGGTAGTACAGTGTGTGTGCCAAATGTAGGGTTTGACTCTGAGGCCCTCTCCAGCCCCTATGACATGCTGTCACTCAGCTCCAGATTATAATAATTCAATAACCATTTATGAATTGCTAACCCTATACTAGGTAGTGGGGACTGAAGACAGAAACAAAACAGTTCCTGCTGTCAATGAGCTGATATTCTATCTGGAGAAACAGTAAGTACACATAAGCAGACATAAAATATTTACAAGGTAATTTGTGGGTGGGGGGGGAGTGGAGAACTGGAGAGATCAAAAAAGGCCTTATGTAGGAGGTGTGGCAGTTTTGAGCTGAGTCTTCTTTGAAGAAAACCAAGGATTCTGAGAAGAAGAGGTGAGGAGGGAATATATTCTAGACATGGAACAGTGAATGTTGTGTGTGAGGAATAGCATGAAGGCCACTTTGGCCAGATCAAACAGGGCCTGAAGGGGAGTGGTCTTAAGACTGGAAAGGAAGGTGAGAGTCAGATGGTAAAGGGCTTTTGTATTTTATCCTAAAGGCAATACAGAATTGCGGCTTTTTTGAACAAGGGACCAACATGGTCAAACCTGGGTTTTCATTTTTTCCCTCACAACAACCCTTTGAGGTAGCTAGACCAGATGTTCTCAATATCACTTTGGCAGCTGTGCAGAAGGCAGATAGTGTAGCGATGGGAGAAACTTGAGGTGAGGAGGCTAATTAGAAATCTATGGCAATAGTTAAAGTGAGAGGTGAGCAGAGCCTCAACTAGGCTGCTAGGCCCCTGAGTGAGCATTATCGCTTTTTGGTTCTTCATTTTACTGATGAAAAAAGTGATGTACAGAAAAATTAACTAGATTACTAGGTTACTAGGCAGCTAGGTGGTTCAGTGGATAGAACACCGGACCTGGAGTCAGGAAGACCTGAGTTCAAATCCAGCCTCCGACACTTCCTAGCTATGTGACCCTGGGCTAGTCACTTAACCTCTGTTTGCCTTAATCCACAGGAGAAGAAAATGGCAAACCACTCCAGTATCTTTGCCAAGAAAACCCATTGACTATATCGGTATGCTGCAATCCACTGGGTCACAAAGAGTCTGACATGACTGAAGAACAACAAGGATACTAATCTTATCTGAATAGATGGTTAACTGCTAAGTATCTAGTAAGTGGCAGAATTTGAACTCAGGTCTGTCTGACTGTCCGGTACCCTAACACATCCATTCCATTCGTAGGTCTAACCACTTCTCACTGCCACCAAGTCTCAGCGATACCTATGAGGCCAAAGTTTCCTCTTTTGGTTGGTACCCCTAGTTTGCATTATTTGTTACTCATACTTTGTACATTTGTGCATAGACATCTGAGGCCTTGGGTAGTATTGCTGGCTTCTTTCTTGGATTTTGTTTTCCTTTTTTTCTTAATAGCATTTTTTCCCCAATTATATGTAGAAATAGTTTTCAACATTCATTTTTGTAAAATTTTGAGCTCCAAATTTTTCTCCCTCCCCAAGACAGCAAGCAATTTGATATAGGCTCTACATATTCATTTATATTAAATATATTTTCATATTAGTCATGTTGTAAAGAGGAATTAGAATGCATGGGAGAAACCATGAGAAAGAAGAAACAAAAAAAAGAGAGAACAAATAGTGTTCTTCAGTCTGCATTCAGACTCCATAGTTCTTTTTCTGGATGTGGATAGCATTTTCCATCATGAATCTTTTGGAGTTGTCTTAGATCCTTGCATTGCTGAGAAGAGCTAAGTCTATCATAGTTGATCAGCACACAATGATGCTGTTACTGTGTACAGTGTTCTTCTGGTTCTGCTCACTTCACTCAACATTAGTTCATGTAAGTCTTTCCAGGTTTTTCTGGAGTCTGTCTGCTCACTATTTCTTATAGCACAATAGTATTCCATTACATTCATATACTACAACTTGCTCAGCCATTCCCCAATGGATGGGCATCCCTTCAATTTCCAATTCTTTGCCACCAAGAAAGAGCTGCTACAAATATTTTTGTCCGTGTGGGTCCTTTTTGGATTTTGTTTGCTAGGAACTCCTGGGCATCTTTGTTACCATTCTTCTTCCTATAGCATAGCTACGCTTGCGACATCTTGCTTGATAGTTGCATGAGGGCAGTCTTACTCCTTTCCTCCCTGTGCAGTTTAAAATCTTTTTGATACAGTTTGCAAAGGCGCTTATAACAGACAGCCTTTTTTTAGCCTGTGTTAATTCCCTGGCCAAAAGCCTGTCATTCCCGTATTTTAAATGATGGTCTAGAAATTCAAGACCTGTTTTCCAGTGCCATCTTTTGAGTCAGCTATTCATTTTGCAATTCCCCCTTTTCTGAAGTTTTTGCCTTCAGTCATCAGCAATGAAGAAAACAATACTTATGTCCCTAAAGGCTTTGAATTTTCAAATATAGGTTCCCTGCCCCTCTGCGATTGAGTCTTCTCTTGTAACAAAAACAAGACAAACCGTAGTGAAGCAAAGCTAACTGACATAGTGACTGACAATATATGCAACATTCTCTTTCTATGGTCTCCCACCTCTCTGCCAAAAGGAGAGGGTGCGTGTTTCATTATCTGCTTTCCAGGACAAAGGCTGGTGCATGTCATGACTTATAATCTGCTTTCATCCAAGCATTCTTTTCATTTCCATTATCATCATTGTGTACATTGCTGTTCTGCTTGCTCCGCTCTGTATCACTTCATACACATTCTTCCATTTTTCCAGATCCCTCGTGTTCATTGGGATCATAAGATCCTAGATCTGGAGGTGGAAGGAACCTCAGACACCATCTGGTTCAAACCCTTTTTACAGGAATTGGAAGAAAACGAGGCCCAGGCCATTGCCCATATTTGTCATTTCTTACACACAGCCATATGTTCCATCATATTTGTACTCTGGGCAGCGAGGTGGAGTAGTGGATAGAGCAGCAGGCCCAGCCTCAGACACGTACTAGCTGTGTGATCCTGGGTAAGTCACTTAACTCTGTTTGCCTCACTTTCCTCACCTGTAAAATGGGCTGGATGAGGAAATGGCACATCACTCCAGCATCTTTGCCAAGAAAACCCCCAATGGGGCATGAAGAGCCAGACATGACTGAAACGACTCGACAACAGCAGCAGTTCGTGCTCTATGCCATGGCTTTTTTCAGCGCTCTCCCAAACTGTGGTAACTCACTTGGCTTGTACTTCTTTGCTCATGAAAAAAAAAATAATATTTTGGTATCTGCTTGGCCTGTCTTTGACCTCCTTGGCTGTATGTCCAATAGAGCAATCCTTGAGTATGTGCTTCATAATGTCACTGCTAGGTGACCTAAGGTCTTTACTTTCTTGCCCAAGACTTCATAACCCTTAGCAATGCCATTTGGGTCCAATATACCTAGGGCAGCTAACCGGTCATCAGGTTACATGCTCTAGTTCATGCCTGGGTTTTTTCGTTAGGCTACTGTGATACCCTCTTGTCTAGTTTCCCTGCCTCCAATTAGAGATTATAGATCCAACCTTTAAACCACTGCCTAAACAGTCTACATAAACACAGCTCTGACCATGTCATTCTTCTACTCAAGAATCAATCTTTAGCAGCTCCTCATTGCTCACTGAATAAAATATAAACTTCTTGTCTTGGCAGCGGGGACATTATCTCCTACCATTCTCTATGCTACTCTCTATCCCCCTTCTCATTTTGCCCACTCTTGCTTCTTTACCTTTATTCATGTCATCCCTGTGACTGGGGTAGATCTCCCCGTTCCTGCCCCATTCCCTTTTGTAAAAGTCCCTCAAACCAGCTTACATGCCACCATCTCTATGAAAACCATCCCCAATAAATCCCAGCCCCACTCTGCTAAAAGTGATCTCTCTACGTACAAACTCCTCATGCCATTTCCATAGATCTTTCTTGTGCACTTATCTCACTGTTACAACATGGTTAATTTTTCTGCAAACCTCCCCGCCTTTAGAATAACAGGATCTGTCTTTGACTTTCCCCAGCCTTTCACAGTGCTCTGCCTAGAGTGGACACTTGAACAAATGTTTGTTGTACAAAGGACATTAGGAAGACCTAACACAGGCATACATTACCTAATGTGGGAAAGACATGTACTGAAGCAGGGGCAAGCTGACTACCGCTCTGAAGATTGTCATTGCTATTTCAATACAGTAGGTTTCCTAGGAAATCCCTAATATAGTAAATTAAGTAGTGGAACAAATTGTGAGATGTCTGAGTGGTTCTTACTTTGGATTGCTGCTGCCCCAGTTTCAGGGATCCTTAGCTGGGCCAGAAATAGAGTCACTAAGCAGCTTGCTTCCTGTGGCATTTTATTCAATTAATAGAGTCGTCGGGTGTGTTTTGTTAAGATAAGTCTCCGCTAAAATAGGAAATGGATCTCATTAAGCCATCCAGACCACTCAGAAGGCTGGCTCACCAATGTCGTTATCTGTTCTGAGAGTTCTACTGGTATGGATAATTGTGAAAGTCTGTAAATATCAACAAGGTCGTATTTTCATGGCCTCTTGTGAATTGACACAACATAGCTACACTGAGTATATATGCAAGATACGGTAATGTTTACTGACAATACTTCAAAGAGATTTTGGTTCAACCAGATCACTATCCTCTGAGAAGCAATAGCCTGATGTAAGCCAGGTGTGTGTGTGTGGTGTGTGTGTGTGTGTGTGTTGTGTGTGGTGTGTGTGTGTGTGTGTGTGTGTGTGTGTGTGGCTTCTATGAGTCATTAATGCATCACAGGACCCAGGAGGGGTTGGATATATCAAGGAATGCAACATAGCTATGGAATGCTAGAAACTGAGAGCAGCCCCTTGCCATGAAGCAAAACAGAGATTTCTTGGAGGTGAAAATGCTATGCAAGCCATAAGACAGCATCTCCTCCATTGCCAAGCTGGTAAGTAGCTTGGGTATCAGCCAACCCTAAAAGGACCACCAGTTTCCACACATTCATAGTCATTATGGCCACATCTTTTGAAAAATTTGTTACACTAGACAGAGTTTCTACTTTTGGCCCATGTGTCACAGAAAAGTTTCAAAATGAAAAACTCAGACATTAAATGCTGTAAACTTGGTTATTGATCTGAAGTTTCTGCATTAACTGTACAGATGATTGTCTGGTCTCTCAAGCTTCTGATGGACTGATTTACCAGGTTTCTGTTTGGAATGAATTGGTTTAAATCTCAGTGGCAGGATAATTTCAAAGATGTAGTCCCTGTTGAGTTAGAATGTGCCAATAGCTATGGACAATGAACCATATAATCTCAGAGTTTGAAGAGCACCAAGTATAACCCTAACCCAAAGAAGGAACTCCTTCCATGGTAGACCTAGAAAGCAGTAGTCATTCAGCCTCTGTTTCAAGGCTTCAGAGACAGGAAGCTCACTACCTCATGAAGCAGCCCATCCCACTTTCAGACAGTTCTAATTGTTAAAAAGTTCTTCCTTAGGTCAAACAAAATTTTCTTTCTCTGTAACTTCCATTCACTGGGACCTTGTTCTATCCAAAAACAAAACAAAACAAAACAAAAAGCACTAAGGAACTAGCAAATGCTAACTATGAAGGCACTTACCATACTTAGAACAAACTGCATATGCTAAATCCTTCCCAGTCCATAAAATTGTGGAACCACACATCCAGCTCTATACTGGAAGGTGGGCCTATACATAAAAATAAATAGCGCTTCTGTTTCCTTCCAAGCTGATCTCTTTCAGGCCTATTTCCAATGGCTACAGAAAGGGAACTCCCAGGTTTTCAGTGGAAATGTCTCTCCCTTGTCACTGTTTACAAAGAAATAAAAACCATCCCAGGTATGACCTCATCTGGGTGGGCAAACATGGTTAAGAATTATCTTCAGGATGGGAGCTTCAGGGAAAAAATATGTGACTCTCAATACTTCAGTCTGACTCTTCTTTCTGTTTTTAAAGTGGGTTTGTGTGAGGGGATTCTGACATGGATCTCTTCATACACAGGGAAAGAAGCCAGGTATAAGCTTGTCAGAGTTGCTGAGGTGTTCTTATGTTAGCTGCCATGCTGAACTTTGGGTAGACTCAGGCAGTCCACATCCCAGAATATCCCTGACAAAGTTCCCAGACTTCTAAGATCAGTACATCTTGGGGAAAGGAAATGGTTTGGAAGCTGGTATCAAGGCTAAAGCTGTCATTGGCTTTGTGATGCACAAGCATCACCACTGAGTCTCTTGGGCATAGGGAGGAAAGGAAGCACAGAAGAAGAAAGGGAGAAAGGGAGGGATGGAGGGAGGAAGGAAGGAAGAGAAGCAGAGGGGAAGGGAAAGATGGATGGAGGGAGGGAGAAAGTAAAGGAGAGATGGATGGAGGGAGAGGGGGAGAAAATAATGGAGGGAGGGAAGGAAGAAGAGAGGAAGAGAGGGAGGAAGGAGATAAGCACTTACATTGCACCTAATACGTGCCAGGGACCATCTCCAATTGTCTTGATCCATGTATCTTGCCATTGGACCGAGATGGCTCTGGAGAAGAAAGTGAGACTGGTGACCTTGCACAGCCCTGCCTCACTTAAATCCAATTCACATGCAGGTGATGGCATCACCTTCCTGATGTCTTGATCCTCTTTGAGAATGAAGGACAGGCAACAATTATGTGCCAGGCTCTGTGCTAAGTTTTTTATTTACAATATTTTACAAATATTTTACAAATTTACAAATACAATATTTTACAAATATTATCTCATTTAATCCTCACAACAACCCTGAGATGTAGATGTTATTATTATCCTTGTTTTATAGTTGAGGAAATAGAGGCAGGCTCTAAATGATTTGCCTAGAGTCATCTGGCTCCTGGTGTCTGAGGCTGGATTCCAACTCGAGTCTTCCTGACTCCTATCTACTGTTCCACCAGCTGCCTCATCCCTCCAGTAGAACACAAGGCGCCAACATGGATAAAGTCATTGTTAAGTATTGAAATCTCTCTTTCTATAGAGGGCATGCCCTGATAGGAAAGGACTTGCTTTCTCATCAAGTTGTAGTGCTGATTAGAGAAGAACAAGGATTTCAGGGAAGCCGCCTACGAGGATGGCTGCATGTTTCTGCCATAGGATGGCGTCTGGTAGAAACATTTTGGTTAGGCTTAGAAAATGAAACAGGTAGCTGATCAAGTGACAAAGGTATCAGAGCGAAGCCACTCTGTCTGGGCTAAATCGAGGAAGATGAGGTATGCAGGAACTAGAGGAAGGGAGTGAGCAAAACCCTCAGAGGAAGCTAGCGGAAAGGAGAACTAGATGAAGTCTTCACTGAGGTTCCCAAATCCATTCCCTTTCCTGGAATTTCCCCCATTTGTGTTACGAGCTCATTTGTGGGGAAGAGAGTTCTACTATCTATACTTGTTCCCTTGCTAGTCGGGGCTTGTGTTTAAGTTGCAATCCTGTCCTTCGTATGTTATAATAAATATAGTTTGTATCCAAATATTTATTAGGTACTTATTACTTAAAGAGGTAGCTAGGTGGTATAATAGATAGAGTGTTGGACCTGGAGTCAGAAGGAACTGTGTTCAAATCCCATCTCAAACATTTACTACCTATATGACCCTGGACAAGTCAATTAATTGCTTTGAGCCTCAGTTTCTTCATCTAGAAAATGGGGGCAATTATAGCATTCACCACCCAGGGTTGTTAGGAGTATCAGTGAAGTGCGTGGTGAACCTTAAAATGCTATATAGAAACACTAAAGAGGAAGAGGAACTAGAATACCCCTAGGAGAAAGTGGGAAATAGATCATTCAGATGTTCTTAGAAAGATACTTCTGGGGCCGCTAGGTGGCGCAATGGATAGAGTCCCAGGCCTGGAGTCAGAGTACCTGAGTTCAAATCCTGCCTGAGACCAGACACTTGACACTGGTTGTGTGACCCTGGGCAAGTCACTTAACCCCAACTGCCTCACCAAAAAACAGAAGAAAAAACAAACAAGCAAACAAAACACTTCTGGGTTGAGACAAATAGGAGACATACTGTTGTTACTAGAGAATGATTCCCTAAAATTGAGTCTGGTCCATTCTGTTAAGAGCGGAGTAGTGTAAATGCTCTACCTTACATGTGGTTTATACTTTTGGAGCTTCATGCAGGATGATGGATTTTTTTGGTGGCTCTGGGTGTGGTGGAGAGAAGCTGGATTACTAGCATTAGCAATGCTGCTAGCACTAGTAGCTTTCTGGGACAAAGGCAAGCGTGAGCCTAAGGAGAATTACACAATTATGGGTTGGGGGTGAATGACCATAGCAATAGATACGGGCCCTCCCCAAAGACCTTGAATTTAGAGCATGCCCATGGAATTTGATTCTAAACATAGCTGAGGATTCTTTAGAGGAAGATCAAGTACTGGGGAAGATGTTCAGAAAGGAGAACAATGGAGCTTCTCTCTCGAGGGAGCTTCCGGAAAACCTTGCCCCCTCCCAGGTCCAGAAAGGAATACCTGGAAGGCAGCTTACTTGGAAATGAATAACAAAACCCTCAACTTCCTGACCCAGAAGCTGATCAAGACAAAGTCCGTCATCGAGAAAGTGGGTTGGGCTGTGGAAAATGCAGGGAGCTTGGTCCAGAGGGAGACACCTGCCTCGTTGGTTAATAACCAAGTTGTCCCTCTCCCTCCCCCAAAAAAGGCTTGATGTCGCTGAGGGGCAGGTGGTCAATTCAATTCAATGATGGTTAATTAGAATTTATATTCGCATAAGCAGTATTTCAGGGGGTGGGGGGACACTATGGACAGCTCTGGTTATTTGAAGGGAGGGGGCATGAGACAGGGTGGTAAATTAGGAACAGTTCTGCCCCTGGGGTCAGGAAGACCTGGGTCCAGATTGGCCTTTAATACAGTGGCTGTATCACCCCAGGTCGCTCTCCGGCTCAATACCCCCAAGCAGTACTGTAAGTTATAGATGGAGATGTGGGAAGGGGTTTCCACACTGGAGTTACCCACCCTGATGATATCACAAGATCCAGATTTTTTTTTTTAAATGTCGGACTACCCGGAGAGAAAACCTTCCAGCCCCAGCAATAACAGGCCTCAGATGGGATTCAGGAGAAACAGGTTTCTGGTGCAAAGAAAAGCAACTGATTACTAGTGGGTCTTAGGGATCCTGCTTTTGACCTTTTCAATTCAGTTCAACAAATGTTAACTTGTACGCAGAACATTATTCATACCTTGTGATTGCAACATCTCGAGATTCTAGTATTTGAATACTTGTGAGTAACAGATAGGTACTATGAGGAGAGAAGTGCCTAACTACCTCTTACTCAGAGGGGAAGAGAATACAACTCTGGCTACCAAAGCAGCCACAACACCGCCCCACCCCTATCGTCACCCCTCCCAAGCTTCTCTGAACTTACTCAGTAAAAGACCGAAGGAAGGAGAGTGGGAGAGAGAGTAAGAGAAAGGAAGAGAGGGGAGGAGAGATAGAGACAGAGAGGCAAAAGCAGAGACAGTGAGGGAGGGAGGAAAGAGAGAAGGGAGAGGGAGAGCGATAGGGGGAAGGAGAGAGACAGAGAGGGGAAGGAAGAGGAGGAGAGAGAGGGGAGAGACAGAGACAGAGAGGCAATGGCTGAGAGACATTGGGGGAGAGAAAGACAGAAAGATGGGAGGGAATGTGGGGAAGAGGAAAGAGGGAAGGGAGAGAGAAGGACAGAGAGAGGGAGAGAGGGGGTAAGGGGAAAGGTAGAGGCAGAGAAAGACAGAGAGGGAGAAGAAGAGAGAAAGCAAGGGAAAGAGGGAGGGAGGGGGCAAAAAGGAGGGAGGGAGAGAGATCTACAGGAAGGGAAAGACAATAGGGAGAGAGACTGACTGAGGCAGGGAAAAGCGAGGTATACCTTCTATGTCAGCCCAGTTGTATTTTTACTCAGCATTCAGGTTTGAGCCAAGGAAAGAATCCACCACTTGTTTGATTAAGTCTTTTTTATTGGCAAAGGTCCTCACCAGGAACATGTGAACTTTGCCTGTAATCACTTCTGGCCTCCAGTTTCCCAAACACACTGGAGTAAATCACAGCCCAGGGTTAGTTTCTGGCAGGAGCCAGTGGCCTTCCACCAAGTAGTTGGGTAGCAGGCAGAATGACTGCTCAGTGTGTGAACTCAGTTTGGAATCTGTGCACAAAGTGCTGGACTTGGCGTCAGGAAAACAAGAATCAAATCCTGCCACAGACACTTATTTTCATCATCTGAAAAATGGGAGTTCTAATTTCACCTAACTCAGAGGCTAGTTGTGAGAATCAGATCAGAATAATACATGTAAAGTGATTTGCAAACCTGAAAGCCCCCAAATAAATGTGTTTTTCTTCTCTTCCTTCCCCTCCTTTTCCTCCTTCTTTGTCTTCTCTTCCATCCTCCTCCTCCTTCTCTTCAGCTTGGCAGCCTGAAGTCCAAGCTGAGGTGATGCTATGGATTAGTTGTGTGTTTATCCAGCTTCTTGTAGCATGACTCAACAAAACCCACACCAATACATTTTTTGCATTACAAAGAAAAGGCTTTTGGTTAAGACAGGGGTTTTTAACCTGGGACCCATGAACTTTAAAAATGTGTGTGTGTGTGTGTGTGTGTGTGTGTGTGTGTGTGTGTGTTTAGATAACTTTATTTCAATATAATTGGTTTCTTTGTAATCTTATGCATTTTACTTTCTACATTTAAGGGGAAAAATGTGTTCATGAATCAAAAAAAAAATGTTTAAGAATCCCTAATAAGAGGATCTTAGATTTAGGACCAAAAGAGATATTCTAGGTCATGTATCTTGAGGGTCTGTCATTGTTTGGCTCAATAAGGAGGCAGACTAGACATCCTTTGCCTCTTTTCCCTTTACCTTTCTCCAAGGGATACTTTAATTCCTGCTATGAGGGGAATCAGGAAGTTGGAGGGCAGAGGCTGACCATTCTGGTCTCCTCAGAAAGTGGAGGTACCTGGCTAGAAGTATATACATCTGCTCCCTTAAATATTGTTAGTGCAGGGGATGTGATTTCCAGGTTCAAGCCAACTTCTGAGCACTATTCATTATTGAGGAAGAGGAGGACCCCAAGACTTGACCCCTTTCCACCAAATATTGGTTCCACAATGAATTCATGTAGCACTTAGCCAAGTAAACCCATTTATCCAAATCAGTAGCAAAACAGAAATCAGAAAGGCATACATAGGAGAATATATACCAGACAATATAGAGTGCAGGGGCCCTCCCACAAGGAGCAAGGCAACTCAGTTCAGCAGAGAGGGTCCTTGATCTCACTCAAGGGAAAACTCCCTCAGATCTCTAGTGAAGCAAACTGGGGATAGGCACAGGATGGAGACTGCCATTTCCTCTCATGTCTTCCCAGAATTTTCCTTCAGTAACCTGATGTGGAGTTGGCCTTATTTATCCTCTCTCTTGAAGCTGAAAGTGCCCTACGGGATTCAAAGCTCACAAAAAACTAAGATCTCTTCTCTCTCTTGCTCTTGCCACCTCTGCTCTGCTCCTAACACAGGGGAAGGCATTGATCCCTGCACATGAGGAGAAAGCCCTATACCAATGGACTTTGGAACTGGGATTATATTCCAGTGAGGAAAATGAAGCCCTAAGGGGTTAAGTGATTTATTGAAAGTCACATAGAGAGCAGAGCTGAGATTTGAACTCAGGCCTCTGATTCTAAATTTTTCACTCTTTCTAGGGCAAAATAAAGAGCATTATAAAGTATTCTAATCATTATTCTTTAAGATCTTTCAAATGAGGGCTTTATCTTCTAGTTATGTTACAAACAAGCCCGTCAAGCATAAAATTATTAGCTAACAGAATTATAGTTCATTGGTCAGTAAAGCAATAAGCATTTAGTAAGCTCCTACTGTGTACTAGGCACTGTGCTAAATTCTGGGGATACAAAGAAGGGCAAAACACAGTCCCTGCCCTCCAGGAGCTCGCAATCTAATGTGAGAGACAACATGCAAACAGCTATGTACAAACAAGGTATACACAGAATAAATTAGAGATAACCAGCAAAAAGAGAGCACTAGAATTAATTGAGATCAGGAAAGGCTTCTTACAGCAGGTGGGATTTCAGCTAGGACCTGAAGGAAGCCAAGAGGCAAAGATGAGAGGGTAGAGCCTTCCAGGCATGGGAACAACCAGCGAAAATGCCCAGAGTCAGGAAGATGTGGAGTTTCTTATTTGAGGAACAGCAAGGAGGCCAGTGTCACATGCAGGATAGTCACTGTATATCAGGCACCATCTGTCTGGAGGTTGTAGGAAGAAACAATTTATCTGGACCAGATGGGAGATATGAGACAGAGAAAAGAACAATTCTAAGAAGTGGTAGGGTGGATGCTCATATGGTGGGCATGCTAAATCATGAAACACAGGCAGCCTGTTGACAGTATGTTCCATAAGTCTGAATGCAGATTGAAGCGTACTTTTTAATACTTTATTATTCTGAGGATTTATTTTTTGGTCTGTGTTTTCTTTTGCAACATGGCTAATGTGGCAATGTTTGCATGACTGCACAAGTTGCTTGCCTTCTCAAGAAAACTGTCAAGTTGCTTGCCTTCTCAAGAAAGGCGAAGGAGAAGAAGGGAGTGAGAGAATTTGGAACCTAAAATTAAAAAAAAACAAATGTTAAAAAAATTTGTTTGTATGTAATTTAGAAAAAATAAAAATAAATAATATGTATACAGAAAGGAAGGAAAGAAAGAAAAAAAGAGAGAAAGAAAGGAAGGAAGGAAGGAAGAAAGAAAGAAAATAAGTTCCATAGGTCATAGAGGCATATTAGATTCTGTGGATGGTCACAAAATGACAAAAATGGGGGTCCCATGTGAGGGAAAAATACATTTATTTATTTATTTATTTTCACTAACCTCTAACTGAAATTTAATATTTCCTGCAAAAGTGAATTTAAAAAACAAACAAACATTCTGTAAGTGATCCACAGGCTTTACCACACTGCCAACAGGGTCTATGGCACACACCAGAAGAGTCAAGAATCCCTGACCTATGTGAAGTGTTTAACTATCTTCCAAAAGGTGTGAGAGAGAAAGAAACTTTGCCTAAGAAGGGATAACAGCTCCCCACCCCACCCACCCCCCCAGCTACTTTGAACGTATCTAATCCAGAAGTTTAAGAACCTTCATGTGTCATGGACTCCTTTAGCATGCTGGTGAAACCTATGGACACCATCTCAGAATGTTTTTAAATGCACAAAGCAAAACGCATAAGATAACAATGCAAACTAATTATCTTGACATACTTATCAAAATATTTTTAAAACAACAAGTTCATGGGCTCTAGATTAGAACCCTTGCATAGACAGTGAGGTCAGGACCCAGCACTGAGAGACAACACTATGAAGAAGCTGTGCCAATCACCAAATGCTCAGTCCATCCAACTCCATGCCATTCCAAGTCCTACAGAGAGCTGGCACTCAGAGCCTAAACATCCTGACAATCCATTCCTCCTGCACGGAAATTCAGGTGATGCCAGAGGGCATTGATGGCAGAGGCTGTGAAGGGAGCAGTGAACCCCGTGTATAACCTGTCAGCATATATGTTTGTCATCTCCCATGAGATTGTGAACTCCTTGATTATATCCCTAGTTTTTAGCACAGGACCTGTCACATAGTAGGAGCTTAATTCACGCTTATTTTTTAAAATATATGCTTACTGATTGATTGATTGATTGAAACCTCTATTCTACAGAATGAATCCATAAAGAGTATGCCTTTGTAGACTCTTGTGCCTGGGAAATGGGAAGGCTCCTCTGAGAAAGGTACTCTACAGGATGGTTGGAGCATTTTCCTTCCAAGAGTGGGGGTATAGGATGTGCTTAAGATATATAACTACCTCCAAGACTACTGACCTTTTTTTTTTAAACATTCATTTAAAAAAATTTTGAATTTTAAATTCTCTCTTTCCCTTCCACCCTTCCCCTACTCATTGAGAAAGTAGGCAATATGATGTCCATTATATGTGGAAAGTCATGCAAAACATATTTCTATATTTGCCATGTTGGGAAAAAACAACAAGAAAAAAAAGTTAAAAAAATAGGTATGCTTCAGTTAGCATTCAGAGTTCATCAATTCTCTCTCTGGAGGTGGATAGCATTTTTCATCATGGATCCTTTGGAATTATCTTGGATCATTGTCTAGATCAAAGTAATTAAGTCTTTCACAGTTGATCATCCTTACAACTTTGCTGTTACTGTGTATAATGTTGTCCTGGTTCTGCTCACTTCATTTTGTTCATATAAGTTCATATAAGTCTTCCCAGGTTTTTCTGAAATCCTTGTGATTTTTTTATGCCACAATAGTATTCTATCACAATCATATACCACTGCTTGTTCAGCCATTCTCCAATTGATGGGCATCCCCTCCATTTTCAATTCTTTGCCATCACAAAAAAGAGCTGATATATTTTTTACAAATAGGTCCCTCTGGGGCAGCTAGATGGCACAGTGGACAGAGCAC